TTATTAGTGGGAATGTCAATTGGTACAGCCACTATGGAAGATAGTATGGAGGTTCCTCAAAAAGTTAAAAATAGAACTGCTGTACAGTCCAGTAATTCTAGTTCTGGGTATTTTTCCAAAGAAAACAAAGACAATAATAAAAAAGGATAACATGCAGTCATGTGTTCACTGCAGCATTATTTAGAATAGCCAAGATGTGGAAGCAACTGAAGTGTCTATCAATAGATGATAAATGGAGAAAGATGTCGTATATGCATACAGTGGAACTCTGCCATAAAAACAAATGGAATTTGCAATTTGTGATGACATGGATGGACATAGAAGGTATTATGCAAAGTGAAATAAGTCAGAGGAAGACAAATACTGTATGATTTTACTTATGTGTGGAATCTAGAAAACAAATGAGTAAAACATATAAAAACAAGTAGATTCAGATTCAGAGAACAGCAGGTGGTTATCAGAGGGGAGGAAGTTGGGGACATAACTGAAATAGGTGAGGGAGATTAAGAGGCATGAACTTCCAGTTACAAAAGAAATGAGTCCTGGAGGTAAAATGTACAGCTTGGGGAATATAGTCAATAATAACTTAAATGGTGACAGATGTGATCATTTTGTAATGTGTAGACATACTGAATCACAATGTTGTGCACCTTAAACTAAACATAGTGTTGTAGGTCAGTTGTACTTCAATTTAAAAAAAAAGAAAAAGGAAATAAGGGCACCAATCAGTGAAATATATAACAAGTGAAAATGACATTGCAGGAAGAGAGTCATTAGTAAGTGAATCATTAGTAAGTGAATACCTTATGCCAATAATTGTGAAAATTTAGATGAAGTGGGTAAATTACTGGAAAAATTATAACTTATAGGAGCTGATTTGAAAGAGAAAAGCTTGATAATTCTGTAAATGTTAAAGTAATTGTAGACCTGGGTAAAAAAAACTTTCCCACAAGGGAAACAAAATGCCCATGTAGTTTTACTAATAATTTCTACCAAACTTGAAAGGAGTAAATCCCAAATTTATTCAGATTTCCAGGAAGTAGAAATATGGAATGGCTCCCATTTCATTCTACAAAACCATTATAAACTTGATATTAAAGCCAGAAAAATAACATAACAAAAAAGGAAAATTAGGTAAATTTTATTCTTGGATAGACACACAAAAATCCTAAAAAAAAAATTAGAAGTTTTATAATTTATAAAGAAGTAATATATCATGACTAAGATAGGTTCATGACCGGTAGTTAAGGAAATTTTTAAACATCCACAAGCATAATGTATCATTTTAACACACACACACATAAATCTCAATAGATGCAGGAAGAGCATTTGGTAAAATTCAACACCAGTTCCTTAAGGAAGACATCTCGCAGGTAGACTAGAAGGAATTTCCACTTGAGTATTAAAAACAAACAAAAACCTGCAGGAAATACCATACTAAATTGGAAATTTTAGAAGTATTCCATTTAAAATTAGAAATGAGATAAGATGCCCACATTATTATTACTGTTATTACTGGTCCTAGCCTGTATAGCAGGACAAGAAGAAATTAAAAGTCATACACAAAAATAAACTCAAAATGGCATGAAGACTTTAGACACTATAAACCTCCTGGAAGAAAACATGGGCAAAACATTTTCTGACATAAATCTTAGCAGTGTTCTCCTAGGGCAATCTACCCAGGCAGTAGAAATAAAAGCAAATTTAAACAAATGAATCTTAGTTAAACATAAGCTTTTCCACAACAAGGGAAACTATAAACAAAACTAAAAGACAAGCTACGGAATGGGAGAAAATATTTGCAGAGGATATGACTGACAGGGGCTTAATTTTCAGAATATACAAACAGCTCATACAACTTAATGACAGAAACACAACCCAGTCCAAAAATGGGCAGAAGACTTAAGCAGTTCTCTAGTGAAGACATACAAATGGCCAACAGGTACATGAAAAAATGCTCAATATCACTAATTATCACAGAAATGCAAATCAAAACTACAATGAGATATCACCTTATACCAGTCAGAATGGCCATCATTAAAAAGTCTACAAAGAATAAATGCTGGAGAGGTTGTGGAAAAAAGGTAACTCTTCTACACTGGTGGTGGGACTCCAGTTTGGTGCAGCCATTATGGAAAACAGTATGGAGAGTCCTTAAAAACTAAAAACAGATTTACCATATGATCCAACAATCCCAGTCCTGGGCATATATCCAAAGGGAACTCTAATTCAAAAAGATACATGCACCCCAATGTCCATAGCAGCACTATTTATAATAGCCAAGACATAGAAACAACCTAAATGTCCATTGTCAGATGACTGGATAAAGATGTGGTGTGTGTGTGTATATACACACACATACATATACGTATACATATACATATACACATACACATACATACATATAATGGAGTACTCAGCCATAAAAGAGAATAAAATAATGCCATTTGTATCAACTTGAATGGATCTGGAGAATGTCATTCTAAATGAAGTAAGCCAGAAGGAGAAAGAAAAATACCGTATGATATTATTTATGTGTGGAATCTTAAAAAAAAAAAAAAAGACACAAATGAACTTATTTACAAAA